TCTAAAGAACTACGAAGCAAAACAATCAATCCAGCTCGCCACCAAGCAACTCGGCCCTCTGGTCAGCTCGACACTTAATAGGCAGTTCGTCCCTCTAGTAAGCCTGACACCTAATAGGCAGCTCGACACTATGGTCAGCTCGTCACCTAACCTGCCTAGCTCGGCCCAGCCAGCTCGTCACCTAACCTGCCTAGCTCGGCCCAGTTAGTTCGGCACTTTACCTGCCTAGCTCGGCCTAGTTAACTCGGCACCTAATCTGCCCCTAGCTCAGCATTCAGATCCTCATCCAGGTCTTGATGATTTTGTTAAACAATTAACAGATAAAAGGTTAGTACTAAGTTTGGGAACATGAAGGATAGTGGATAATACAAGTGAGTCAGAGGCTTTAATATCCCCCTTGCTAGAGATGGGAGCAAGAGACCCATCAGCTCTTCTCTCTACTCGAGAGGAGCTGGCATGAACAAAAAAGGTTGGGTATGCTAGTCATAAAGTCTGATGCACTAGAATCTATGATCCAAGGATTTCTACGATTACTTGAGGTTGTATCATGATTTGTAGAAGCACGAATACTTGAATGGGAAAAAGCGAATGTAGAGGGGGTGCTTGAGGAGGAAGATGCAACAATAGACTCCAAGTGGTTTATCAACTTCCCATATCTCTCAAATTCTACCTTCACTGTTGCCAACTGTTCCACAACAGATTTTTCTTCACTTTCAAATACTGTAGCAACATTTGCATTCTTAGGCTTTCTAGACTGACCACCCTTCTTAAAGTTGTTTTTCCAAAACCTCTCTAGAAGAAGATTTGGATGAAGCTTTCAACAAGAATCCTTTGTATGTTTCGGCTTCTTGCAATATTCACATATCACATTTTTTTCATTTACCCCCTTTGGTTTTATTCTAGAATGTGCAAAATGTTATGGGGGAGGTGGGGCCTGTGGCTGTACCTGTCGCCTGCTCTCTTCACTACTCACCATAGAGTATGCCTGAGCAAGTGACACTTAATCCTTGGCTAGAATATTTTGCCTTGTATTATCAAATTCAGGATTGAGTCCAGTAAGGAATTCAAACACTTTGTTTCTTTCCACAAATTTCCTGAAAGTTTTTGCATTTTTGGTGCTTTCCCATACGATTGCTTCCATAACATACATCTCCTGCCATAGTGACTTCAACATCGAATAGACAACCACACTTTTCTCCCCTTGTTTTAAAATTTTCACATCATTCTTTAGTTTGTATGCCCTTGCAACATTTAATTTCTGAGAGTATGTTTCTGTAACACTATCCCAAATCTCCTACAGTCATCCACATATAGTGTTGACTTTTGTGGGGCTACATAGAATTTACCAACCACTCAATAACTATGTAGTTATCCTGCATCCATTTCACATATGTAGGATCAAACTCTTCTAGCATCACCTTACTACTCGTGAGAAACCCTAGTTGACCTCTACTACAGACATGGATCTTAATAGATTGTGCCCAAGCAAAGTAATTTGTTCCATCAAGTTTAATTGTAGTCACTCCTGTCAGAATGGAATCTAGGGGACCAACCCCTGACACTGGGATCTGCTTCACGTCACTTCTAGAGTGCTCCATCAATCAAATGAAAATCAAAGAACAATGTTTTCAACCTTTGTAGACCTAACTAAGGTCAGTCAAGCACTCAAAAGTCCCAAAACTAGGGTTTCACCGTACTTGGCCTTCGGGGAGAAAGAGAGAAGAGGTAACTGTTCAAACGAGAGTTATCCAAACCACTTTCAATTGCAGCCACCCACTTTTGGAGATAAAAAGGAACCCTCCAAGCCTTGAGCGCCACACCCAAACAGCCTCTTCAACTTGTAACTAGAAATTCTCTAGTCGGCTAGGGTTTTGGGAAAAAATCTACAGTCCTACTTTCTTGGCGGCCAGATTTCTGGCTCTCCAAACCCTCTACTAACTAGGCAAACAAGATCTTTGAATGATCAGCAATTTATCTCTCCATACGCCTTTTGATTAGAAAAAAAGGGAAAAGGAGAAAAGCGAAGGGAGACCTGCTCTAATAGCAAGATGTGATTCAGACCAATAAAATTAGCAGAATATTTTAGATTAAAGCAAAAAAGAAGCAAGGAAGAAGAGGAAGACTGCAAGAAGAAGAAGGAAGATTGGAGAAGGAAGGAGGAGTTTGATAATCTCCTATTTCCTCCACACTAATCTTTTATTAGACTTACTTAAGTTACATAATTTACAAGACTGCCCTTAAGTAGGTGTCCACATCAGCAATACACTTAAAAAACAAAACGAAAGTTAAAGGCCCATAAAGAAGGAAGGCCCAATAAGAAAACATAACAAGAAGGAACTAATGAGAATGACACTAATGGACTAGGGCCCATTCGGCCCAGTCTCTCTACACAAAGTAGTAAAGCTCCCAAGGGTTGTACATGCACTAGGCACCCCATAATGATGACGTTGAGGATTAACATACAAAAACAAAACCTACAAATGAGAACAATTATAATAGCCAACTAATTGGAAGTAATAATAATAGCTAACTGAATGAAGGCCAACTCTAACTTGTTTTATAGGGTTCATGATGGCATGCATTTGGGTTAATCAACTATCTTGAACCTTACAATGGATTTTGACCTTTTCAAAGTTTTTTTTTTTATTCATATATTAAATCATGACTAGAGGGAGATTTCTTTGGTGGGTATAGTACGTATATGATGGATTAATTTAGAATTCGACAAGTATAGAAAATGCTGTCTAGAATTCAATCCTTGGGAAGTGATATTATTGTTATAAAAATGAATCTTGGATCTATTCCCTTCCTTTCTGAACTACACACATTCATTAGCAACAAGGATTTCCTTCTGTTCAATAGGCATGATGCCTGTTTTGGTAATAAAGTGCTTTTTTCTAGGAAGATATTTGGCTCGAGGAAACCCCTCTTAAGGATCACTTATCTTCTCTTTACTCTTTTTTCTTACATAAATTGAAATCCATCTCTTTTGTTTGTGGTGTTGGGATTCTTGGGATTTGAGTCTAAGGAGAGGGCTTAGGGAAGCTGAAATGGGTTGTTGATGAATTTCTTTCTCTTCTAAGCAATGTTTCCTGGATCAGTCTTTGTTTGGACAGTTGGATCTGGACGACCTCTCCTAGATTTTTCTCTTATGCTTCTCTTTTCTTCGCCCTCCACAGCTTTGTCGTTTCCAACTAAAGAAGTGTGGTGTAATCCAATGTCTCCAAAGATCGGGTTTTTGTTGGGAAGCAGTTCTTAACATGGTTAACACTTGTGATGTACTTTAGGAAAGAAAGCCAAATTGGTGCCTCTCTCCTCATGTCTCAATAATTGTGGTGAGATGGCTGCATACTTGCTAATCTCTTGTTTTTTGTTTCATACATTTCAGATTGGTTTTCCTCTCTTTGGTTGCAGGTGGTTGTATCCTCTTTCTATTAGCTACTTTCTTTGAGGCAAGTTTCCTTAGACAACCAAAGAAGAGTTGGGGGGGGTGAGATGTATGTGGAGAGCCACTAGAGCAGCAATTTTATTGAAAGTGTCAGAAGAAAGCAATGATCATATCTTTCAAGGTTCAACTAAATCTAAGGAGGAACTAATAGAGAGCCTCACCATCAAAGTAGTACATTGGGTAAAAACAAGCATACTGTTCAAGGAGTTTTCAGTTTAAATGAACTGTTCAAGGGTGGAATGCAGTAGCTAACTCATCTTCTATCAAGGATTTTGTTTAGGACAGTTGAGTCCCTTCAGCAGCTAAAAGAATTAAGCTTAACTTTGCTAGGAGCTCTTTTGGCAATGCAGGACCATCCGGTATTGGGGAAGTTTTTTAGAGATGCAGAATGAAAGGTGATGGCTCTCTATTCTGGTCCAATAGTGGTGGGAGACTTTTTTTTTTGGTAGAAGTGGGAAACTCACTTAGAGCACAAGCTTTTGCCCTCATCCAAGGACTGGAATTAGCGAAATAGTGGGGTGCTAATAGATTGAAGTGGACGGTGATTCTAAGCTAGTGATAGGGTGGATGCAAACAAAGAATTTGGGGGCGTATACCCATAGGCAGGTCATGAGGGAGATTTTTTATCTATCAAAGGAGACTGGTGTCAACTTCATGTGGAGTAGAAGATCAGCCAATGCGATGGCTAACGGTTTAGCTAAACAAGGGATTGGGGGGGCGGTGGGTGTTGTGCTGCTTTGTAATCAATTTCAGCACTCTGTATTTTGACTGTTGCAACATTTTTAAATTTTAATTATTAATCGAGAGTTGCTGATAAAAAATAATTGAACGTTACTGTTTCCAAGAAAAGAAAATTTCAAATGTTCTAGAATAATCAGAATCTTAAGTTTGTATGAGTTTTGATCAGGAGTTATATATATAGCCAACCCCACATAGTTGGGATAAGGCATGGATGATGATACATTACATACATACATAAAAAGTAAATGCTAATTCAATTGGATGAAATTTGGGAAGTTACAGTAGCGATGTAGAATTGTATAATCAATAATTATGATAAGTGTTTGGGTAAGGTTTTATTTCTAAATTCGAAGAATGTTGACAAACCCCTCTCTGATAAACGATTGAGTGTTCAATTAAGTTGAAATTTGGCTACCTAGATCTTAAATTCACACCAAGAAATCTGGTCCAGTTTGGCAAAAGTCGAGATGGTATTAGTGCTATGGGTCAAATTACATGGGTGTGGTAGTTTCAGTGAGTTATTTCAAGATTTGTTCAACTTATTTCCAAACTGTTTCACTTAGACTTGTCTTGATGTTTTTCATACTACTAACTGCTCTTCAGTATAAGATGAAGAAATCATACAGAGCTGGTAAAAAGACATGATAAAATACTCAATAGGATGTTCATTGAAATGGGGCAAACATCATGATTATAGATTTCTATTTACATTTTTCTCATTGTTTTAGGTTATGTTATTTTCTGTTAGGACTTTGAGGTATATGGTACAAGAAAGCAAGGTTTTGGTTTCTTATGGTTGTTTTTGATCCAGTGTGGGCAGGGAAGTACAGATGATGAGTTGAGTCCAGCTTGTGTATTATCTCTCTCGGGTATCCAGATAGAGGGAGTTGCTGCTGGACTATGGCATACGATTTGCATTTCAATTCAAGGTGATGTGTATGGCTTTGGAGGAAATCAGTTTGGGCAGTTGGGTACTGGTGCTGACCAGGCTGAGGTACACAGAATATTACCCATCTCTGACTGGTGACTTGCTTTTATTTTCTTTTATCCAAGTGAAACAACAAAAAACAGTTGTTATCATAGGCATGATTTCCATTGAATAGCTACAAGGATGGGCTACTCTGGCCCAGTTCTGTGTTATTATAGGCATGATTTCCATTGAGTAGCTACAAGGATAGGCTACTCTGGTCCAGTTCTGCAATGATGTATATGGGGATTGCAGTATTGGTGCACCCTCTACAGTTCATCATTGGTGTAACTTCCACCAGATAGGCATGATTTCCATTGAGTAGCTACAAGGATGGGCTACTCTGGCCCAGTTCTGCAATGATGTATGTTGAAGATTAATTAGTTTTATGATGTTTTTCTGGGTAGATGTTTTATGTTAGTTGTTAGATAGGAGGTGGTGGCCACAGTAGTTATGTGAATCCAAATTTTATTATGTTTTTGGGTGTTACATATGCTGTTTTATGTTTTGCCATCCAAATTTTATTATTGCTCTCTTTTCTTTCCAACTTCTCTTCTCCTTCTCTCCTCTTTCTCTCTTCAAGAAACTACTTTTCTTTTATATTTTTTAATTCAACAAATTTCTACTTGGTATCAGAGCATCGGCTAGGGTTTCTTGAAGCATTCTCATGCAGCCCTAGATCAGCTGACTACATGAAGTAATCAAGGGCTGATCAATTTGCTATATATTGCTTAGTTCTTGGAGTTTTTGGTGGGATCTAGTCATTAGGAAGGTGATCTACTGTTTGGCATCAAAATCAGGAAGAACTAGAGTACGGGGAAGAGTCCCAGAAAAGTTGGACTGTTTGTTTTTGATCTGATCTTGGGCACCCAGGTATTGTTAGTTTTCTTTTGATTTTCTGAAGAGGGCGGTTTAGTTTTTGAAATTTTCTGGGCCTCTCGAGTGATCGATTCATTTTTCTCTCTATTGGGAGGCGTGGGGAGGAGAGAGATTTCCCTCCATCTAGGGTTTTCTTCTTTCGGAAGGGTTGGTTTCTATGTGTGTGATATTAAATTATTTTTTGAAGGTCTCCAATTTATTTTTTTTGTTACTGTTGAACTGTTTGAAGTAAGATGGAGAATTGGAATACTGAGATGAAATCTACTGGTATTTTGGGACTGGGTGTTGGAGGTAGTAGTGATATTTTTGGGTCTGGGATCATTAATACAATAAAACTTGATGGTACAAATTATTTGGAGTGGGCACAATTAATTAAGATGGCTATTGGTGCTTGTGGAAAATTAGGGTATCTCATTGGGGAGGAGAAGAAACCTGATACAAACTCTTCCCGATGGGTGCCTGAGAATTACATGGTAATGTCTTGGCTGTGTAATTCTATGTTACCTCATATTGCAAAAAAATTTCTTTGGGCTAATACTGCTAAGGAGATTTGGGATGGAGTGACTGAAACCTACTCTCAGAAGCAAAATGAGGCCAGAGCCTATCAATTAAGAAATCAGGTGATAAGTATGAAACAGGGAGAAAAACTTGCTATGTATTTCTCCATGCTGAAAACCCTATGGCAGGAAATAGATCGCTTAAAAACTGTGGTATAGGAAAGTGTAAATGATGCAACAACTTATCACAGATTGGTAGAGAGGATAGGGTTTTTGAGTTCTTGGCAGGGCTGAACCCTGAATTTGACATTGCTAGGCAGCATATTCTTTTTAGGGAGGGTGTGACACTCTCTCAGGCCTATGCCTTTGTCTCTGGAGAGGAGAGTAGGAGGAATGTAATGTTGAGACAGCCTGAGATTAACCAGTCGGATATGATTGGTACAACAAAACCTAAGCCGAATGGAGACAGGGGGAGTAATGAGACTATGAGGGAAGATAAGAAGGACTTGATGTGTGATTATTGCAAGAAGCCTAAGCATACTAGGGACACTTGTTGGAAGTTTCATCCAAATCTTATGCCTGCTTGAATAAGAAACAAGAAGGGAAATGCAAATGTAGCCACTACAGGAGACTCTTTAGCCCTTCTCTCCCAAACTGATTGGGAATCCGTTGCAGTAGTAGCAGTGAGAACAGAATTGGAGAGGTTTGGACAACTTATGAGTAAGAAAGATTCACCTAGCTCTAGCCTTCCAGATGGATAGCAGAATGCAGGAGCCAATTACACCACTTCCTTTGCACATACAAGTAGTTCATATGCAACTGCAATTCTTGCATCCACTTCAGGTAAGGAGGGACCTCTTTGGATTATAGACTTGGGAGCATCTGAGCATACGACTAATGCCCCTACCATTTTCAGCTCCTATCAGAGTCTCTACAACAGATGGTTCACATATGCCCATTGCTGGGAAGGGAACAGTTAGAGTGACCAATGATATAACTCTGTCTTTTGTTTTACATGTCCCTAGACTTCATACCAACCTATTGTTTGTTAGTTCTTTGACAAAAAATTTGAATTGTTCTGTGACCTTTCTTCTTGGTAATCGTGTTTTGCAGGATCTGGAGTCAAAAAATATGATTGGGAGTGGTCGTGAGGTGAATGGAGTCTACCTTTTGGATGAGATTCCGAGACATCAGGGCCATCATGTTAGCAGCAGTAGTAGTAGTGGGTCATAGTGAACCAGATTATGCTTTGGCGCAATCGCTTGGGACATTATTCTTTTAGTTCTTTGAAATGTCTTTTCCTAAAGTTGTTTGAGTTTGTTCAGTTATCTACTTTGGGGTGTGAGAGTTGTCAGTTAGGAAAGCATTATGGACAGTCTTTTAAACCAAGTAATAAAAGAAGTACTTCTGCTTTTGATATTGTTCACACTGATGTATGGGAGCATATCATATGCCTTCCATGGGAGGATTCCATTACTTTCTCTTGTTTTTGGATGACTATACACGATATTTTTGGATATATTTGATGAGATCACGTGATGAGGTTCCTAACTTGGTACGACAGTTCCACCAGATGGTTCTCACACAATTTGGAGTGAAAACTAAGGCTTTTAGATCAAATTATGCTATAGAGTATTTTTAGAAGGACCTGACCACGTATCTCTTAGAACATGGTGTTGTTCATCAGAGCATTTATGCATATACACCGCAACAGAATGGAGCCGCTGAGAGGAAAAACAGACACATTGTAGAGGTGGCAAGGAGTCTTATGGTGTGTGCTTCAGTTCCTGTGCAGTTCTTACAGCCGTGTATTTGATTAACCGTGTTCCTTCACGGACTTTGGGGTTTAAGGTGCCATTTTGCCTTCTTTTTCTAGATGGAGAGATATTTCATATACCTTTGAGGGTTTTTGGTTGTGTTTCTTTTGTTCACATTCTTGGCCCTCATCGCAAGAAATTGGATCTTAAGGCCAAGAAATGTGTTTTTCTTGGGTATGCTCATAACCAAAAGGGGTATTGCTGTTATGACCCAGTGTTGAAAGCAGATTTGTCACTATGGATGTTACCTTTTTTGAATCCACATTCTTCTTCTCGAGTGATTCTCCTCACGGGGAGAGTTTTGGGGAGGAGAACTCACAATCTGTTCCTCTTCCTGTTTCTGTGGTGCCTCCATCTGTTTAGCCAACATCTACATTAGTTCAACCAGCACCTGCACCTCCAGTTTCATTACTTGAGCTACTACGGGTAGCCTCACAGAAATATCAGCGTCTGCAGATGATGGTTAACTCCACACATCCTCAACCCACACCACTCTCTGTCAGCCCTTCTGAAACTCCAAATTTGGCAGATATAGTTCTAGGTAGACCTGTTCATGGGCCGGGCTTTGACTCTTTATTAACAGAAAACTGTTAGGCCCGAGCCCGAGCCCGGCCCTGATAAAAAGCCTGAAGCCCGAGCCGAGCCCGAAGCCCGACCTAAGAAAAGAAATTCAAAATTTTATGACATTTTTCTATTTTAATTTAAATGTTTTTTTTCCCCTATTTAAATGAACAATGGATCTACAAGTGAATCAATGACCTCAAATCAAAAAATTTATTCAAATAGACATCACATAGGGTTTTTACTTAGGTTTAACTATAGGTCGGGCCGGGCCGGGCTCGGGTCGGGCTATTTTGGCAAAGCCCGAGCTCGGCTCGAACCCGGCCCATGAACAGGTCTAGTTCCAGGTATTCCTCTTGAGCTTGAGCCTGAGCCTGTTATGTTTTCTGATAATAATATTTTTGTCTCTAACATCATTGTTGCAGCTGATCCCACTGACCTTGATCTTCCCATTGCACTTCGTAAGGGGAAGAGAAAGTGTACAACCCACTGCATTTCACACCATCTTTCCTACAGTGCCTTATCACCCTTCTACCATGCTTTTCTTTCTTCCCTGGATTGTGTCTATACTCAGTAATGTTAATGAGGCTTTCTCCAAACCCGAGTGGAAAACAACCATGCAAGATGAGATGGATGCTTTGGTCAAAAACCAAACTTGGGAAATAGTTGATCTCCCCCTAGACAAGTAGACAGTCGGATGTAGATGGGTATTCACAGTGAAGTATAAGGCTGATGGCAAGATAGAGAGGTACAAGGCAAGGTTGGTAGCAAAATGGTATATTCAAACCTATGGTGTTGATTATCTGGAAACCTTTGCACTAGTAGCTAAGATGAGTTCAGTTCGTATCCTTTTATCTCTAGCAGCCACCTATTCGTGGCCCTTGTTCTAGCTTGATGTCAAAAATGCATTCCTTAATGGTGATTTACAGGAGGAGGTATACAAGGACACTCTAGCAGGATTTTATGGAAATGTTGGTAAAGGAAAGGTGTGCAGACTTGGAAAATCTCTGTATGGACCGAAACAGTCACCTAGGGCTTGGTTTGACAGGTTCAGAGGGGCACTCATCCATTTTGGATATACACAGACACAGTCTGATCACACCCTCTTTGTAAAGAGGAGAGATGCTTTAGTGTCAATTCTGATTGTGTATGTGGATGATATAGTGGTGACAAAAAACGATCTAGAGGAGATTAATGATCTCAAAAAATCATTTTAGCAAGAATTTGAGATCAAAGATTTTGGTGAGTTCAAATACTTCTTAGGGATTGAAGT